AATGGAATGATACTACTGACATTCTACAAGAGGAGTTTTCCATGCAACACCTGAGATCCACCCATTCCTGAGATCTACCCATGTGGTTGTGGGCAACAATGACCCATTCTCTTTCACTGCCATATAGTTTAGCTGGATTTTTCAGAATTGCCTTACATTCTACATGAGTTCCCATGTTTTTCAGATGTGGTCCATACCCACTGTGGTACAGCTATTAATTTTCACTTGGTGGGAAACTATCTTTCTTTCTGAACATTTTAAAATCAAGTAAAATTTGCTTCTCTTTAGACTTCTCAACTCATTAATACAGGTTGTACATCCCTAACCTGAAATTCTGAAATCTGAAATGCTCCAAAACCCTAACCTTTTTGAGCATCATGTCAGTGCTCCAAGTTTCAGATTTCAGATCAGGGATGCTCAATCCGTAAAGCCTATGCAAACATTCTAAAATCTGAAAGACTCCAAACTGTGAAACCATTTCTGGTCCCAAGCAACCAAAATACACTAAGACACACACTGAGCACCTGCTGTGCAATAAGAAATCAAGAGTTCCCACCCTCAAAGTGGTGCTGCAGGAGACTGAGCCTAAAATGTTCACACAGCCCAATGAGGTACACATCAATGCTGCCTGCTCCCTCACTTCATGCAGGGTTCTTACCAAATATCACCTCCTCAGAGAAGCCTTTCCTGACCACTTATCTAGTTACCCTCTTCTACCACATCTTGTCATTTGATCCACTTATTTTTTCTTCACAGCAATTATCACCACCTGATATTATACTTGCTAATCACTGTCACGTAAACTCCATGATGGCAGGGACTTTTGCCAAATTTATCACTGAACCTTCAGAAGAGTGAAGAATGCTAGATACACAGCAGGTGCTCTATAGGTATTTGTGGAAGGAATGAATGGTAGAGGTATGCATGTGATGCTACCTGAGCGTAGAAAAGGGGGTAAATTCAGTTTGGGCTGGTTCCAGAGAAGGTGACAAGAAGCTCCAGAACATCCTTATTTTTAACTCCCCAAGTTTTCCTCCAGAAATTTTTTTTTAGAGAGAGAGAGAGAGTTTTTTTATTTTTATATTTTTTAAGTCATTGGCAGACACATCATCTTTGTTTGTATGTGGTGCTGAGGATCGAATGCGGGCCGCACACATGCCAGGAGAGCGCGCTACCGATTGAGCCACATCCCCAGCCCCAGAAATAATTTTTAATTGGTTCCTTTTAGTATACGTAACATTAGGATTCATGACAGAATTATAAAAGCATGGAATATAATTTGCTCTAATTCAACCCCCAGTATTTCCCCCATCCCTCCTCTTCTCCCTCCCCTCTACTTTATAAATTTCTGCTATTTACTTTTAGTTTCTTTTTTTAATAGTGGCTTGTGGATGAATAAACATGATGGTGAGATTCACTGTGGTATATTCATATTATGTACATAGGAAAGTTAGATCAGATATTCATTCCACTGTTCTTTTTGTAAAATTTTTAAATTTTGCTTTCATTTTTTTCAATATTTATTTTTTAGCTATAGGTGGACACAATATCTTTTTTTTATTTTTATGTGGTGCCGAGGATTGAACCCAGTACCTCACGCATGCTAGGTGAGCACTCTACCTCTGAGCCACAACCCCAGCCCTCATTCTACTGTTCTTCCCTTGCCTTATCCCTCTCCCTCTCCCTCCACCTGAGTCTCCTTCATACTGTCCACCCATCTTTCTTCTATTTGATGGAATCCCCCCACTTTTCCCCTTCTCTTCCCCTACTTATTTTGGACTAGCTTCCGCATAGCAGAAAAAACATTTGACTTTTGCTTATTTATCTTAGCATATAGTCTCCAGTTCCATTCATTTACCAGCAAATGCCAAAATTGCATTCTTATTTTCTTAAAATATTTTTTTTAGTTATAGATGAACATAATACCTTTATTTTATATATTTATTTTTATGTGGAGCTGAGGATCGAACCCAGTGCCTCACACAGGCTAGGCAAGCACTCTACCACTGACCCACAAATCCAGCCCCATAAGTGCATTCTTTATGGTTGAGTAATACTCCACTGTGTCTTTATCCATTCATCTGCTGAAGGGTACCTTCGTTGATTATGTAAATTCCTAAAAAGTCTTTGAATCTTAGAATATTATAAGTCCAGATAATTAATGCCTACATACATTGCTAGCTTAGACAATGTTTTTTTTTTTCAGATTAAAAAGCAGCCGAGAGAAAATACTCTTAGAGACATATAATATGGGTAAATTCCAGATGTTATCTGTGCTCTAAGACTCAGAAAACTGAGCTCACTAGGCTGATGCCTTATCCACATACTGCTGATGTTCACTATTTATGGTTTCTTTTTTTAAAAAAATTTTTGTAGTTGTAGATGAACAGAATTTGTTTACTTTTGTGTGGTGCTAAGGATAGAACCCAGAGCCTCGAACATGCTAGGCAAGCACTCTGCCACTAAGCCATACCCCCAGCCTACAAAGTTTCCTTTAAAAGAAGAGCCTGAGACCTCAAAAGTCCATCTCACTCTCACTCTCAAGACAGCCTGCATTCTCCGCACCCTGAATGTATATTCCTTGGTTTCCTAAATAAATCTGCGCCTCTTTTGATACATCCTAAAATTCTTTTCTCCAGAGTAAGTCAAGAACCTGGCAGGGTCTAGTTGATCCCCTTCTCCTTTTTGGGGGACGTTCTCAGATCCCTATCCAATAACAAGCTGAGTCACAAGTCCTGAGCCAGATAGCCCTTTGGATTGGGGTCTGAGCTGCACATTACTATATACATGGCTCCCTCTCACCTTGCTTCCTTAAATTAGACACTATTTTCATTCATTTTTTGATTCTCTAAGGCACTTGACACAGTAACTTGCATTCATTTATTCTGAAAATATTTAAAGCACCTAGTATGTGCCTATTACTGTTTTTTAAAAAATTTTTATTAGTTGTTGATAGAGCTTTATTTTATTTATTTATATGCAGTGCTGAACATCAAACCCAGCACCTCACACATGCTAGGCAAGTGTACTACCACTGAGCCACAGGCCCAGGCCCCCTATTACTGTTTTAAAAGAGTGGGAATAATTTTTTTTCTCTAAATTGAACTATATAAAAATGGTACGGGATTTTATTCAAGTGTCTAATCAAACAAGTATTTTATAAAATTCCTATGACTTGGGGCTGGGACTGCAGCTCAGTGGTAGAGCACCTGCTTCACATGTGTCAGGTATGGGGTTCGATCCTCAGCACCACATTAAAAAATAATAATAAAAAATAAAAATATTGTGTCCATCTACAACTAAAAAAGTTTTTTAAAAATTCAAAAATTCAGATGATTTGTCTTTTAAAATATTAAACAGTTCTAGAAACATAATTTTTTCAAGATGTTCAACTTCAAAGAAACAGCATAGAGCCAGTTGTGACCTTGCTTCCTACTAGAGCATAACTCCCATCTCTGTAGAATGCAATAACTTACTTGATTATTTTAATGAAATTTATAATAATAATGATGAAACTTGCAAGTTATTATCTGTATAGGAACCATGACTCAATATCTAGGATAAGAGACTAAAACCTGGGAAAACCCCAGTATGCACTAGGCTTTTCTATTAATATAAATATCCCAAGTTAACACAAGCATAGTGATATGTGGATAAGAGCCAAGAAGGCTAAGAAATAAGACAAACAAAACTAGCATAGAAAGGACACTGTGAACTAAACAATGAAAATTTAAAAAACAACCTATTAATTCAGAGATGTGTTATGGAAGGATATTAGTAGTCTATAAAAATCATAGTAGGGGCTAGGGTTGTGGATCAGTGGTACAGCACTTGCCTCACATGTATGAGGCACTTTGATCCCCAGCACCACATATAAATAAATAAATAAATAAAAGTTTTTAAAAATCATAGTAATCTGAGAAAACTAATAATCGTGAAAACTCTGTTAGAAAGCAACACATTAAAAAGAAGAGCTGACGTCACCTTGAAATATTTTAAACAAATCCTAAGTGTTCATTAAATTTGTGTTTTATCCTTCATTCTCTGAGTCAAATGGATGTACTAAACAAGGTCTACATTATCTTCCATATATAAAAACTTTCCTAACCAAGCATGGTGGTGCACACCTGTAACCCAAGCAACTTGGGAGGCTGAGGCAGAGGTTTGCAAGTTCAAGGCCAGCAACTTAGAGAGACCCTGTCTCAAAATAAAAATAAAAAGGACTGGAGATATAGCTCAGTGATACAGTGCCCCTGGGTTCAATTCCTAGTACCAAACAAAACAAAACAAAACAAAAACAAAAACCACCACTACCACCAAAAAAAAAAATAAATAAATAAATAAAAAATAAAATAAAAAAACAAAACTTTCCTCTTTTTCTAAATTAAATCACATTTCTCTTTCTCTCGCACTATTACTAAAGATGTTTCCATTGTACTACTGTAATGAATTATTTGATGAGTCGTTCTTGTTAGTTGGTAAAATACTTCAAAGACTTAAAACAGTGGTGACAGATATACATTTTTCATTTACATATTTTCACTGGTGAGTTTACCAAATTCCTAATAAAAATTCATGGCTGACAAGTTATTGTTGATGTTAAGTAGACAATAAGACGGGAAAGGCAGAGGAAGGCAAGCAGGTACCCATGCACAATGCAATCACTTCAATCCAGATGCAATCAAAAAAAAGAAAAGAATGACCAGTAAACGGAATGGAATTTAACGCTGTAAGGAGAAAATGTTGACTGTTTCATTTTGGCAAATAAGAGTCCTGTATTTATTTACCAAGCAACAAATCCCTCAATGGCACACCATTTAACCAAAAGATAAATGGAGTCAAGGCAGATAGTTTAAAGGCTAGCATTTCTCCTGCTTACTCTTTCTGGCTGGCCATGCCTCATAAGGGAACAGGAACTATAATGTTAGATAGCACCAAACCCCACTCAAATGGTTCTAAGTCATCAATCAGACTGTCTGGCAAAGGGGAGAGATGCTTACTTGGATAACACAGGAGAAGATGATCTCTTAGGAAGGCCTGCGGGAAGCTCGCATCTTCTCAGTGGGGATCCGAGGCCCCCGGCAGGGATGGAAGTTGTCGCTCGCTGTCCCCTCTTCACCTTCTCCACCTATAAGGACAGAGAAAGTAAGATAGCCACAGCTCATGACTGGTACTACTTCTACAATTTCTGAAAATATCTCAAATGGAAGTAACATATAGTTTTTCTTTAAGAGGGATCTGTACAAAGCTATAATGTAATAGGACAGAATAGGAATCTTTGCAGAGAGGTACCACAAGGTCATCACACTTAGGTCATCCAGTGAAAAGAATAATAGCTTTCAGTCTCAACATGCAGATTTCCCCCTTCTTGTTTTTACCAAGAACTAACAACAGAAGCATATTATGGTCCTGGACATACAGGAACTGGGAAAGAGTATAAAGAGATGATGTTTACTAAGAAAAAAATTATAGGTGAGTAAGAATGTAGTTATAACATTCAAGAAAGTGAGCTACAGACCCCAAGAGCATACATGGTATAATGGAGAATGCAACACATCCATTCTTCTGTAGTTTCCCTTTCATCCCTTTCAGCAGAATGGAGAAAGAAAAGGATATCAGTGCCCAACCAGCAGAAAATGCTTCATAAGGATTAGTCCCCTTCTCTCCCTATTATATTTTTCTGTAACAAGTTCTCACTTGGCCCTGACATCCACAAATGTTAGCCCCCTTCCACAATAATCCATCCTACAGCAAATCTAAAAATTGGAAACATTCACTTCTTTTTTAAGAATCTCAGGGCCGTGCTGGGGATAGAGTTCAGTTGGTAGAATGCCTGCCTTGCATACACAAGGCCCTTGGTTCAATCCCCAGCACCACATCAAAAAAAAAAAAAAAAGTAGCAGCAGCTGACGGTTTCAGTCAAGTTGTTGCCCTGGCTTAAAATGGAAGGACATGATTCTGCTTCCTATACTCATTGCATTCTCTTTGGTTTCTGCATCATTTCTGCCCTGTTGTTCGCTGGCATGATACCCATAAGTAGATCTACTGCTCTAATAAGTATTTTGATGATCACTACAAGTACCAGCATGTCATGTTACCCACAGAACTTTCCAAAGGTACCCAAAACTCATTTAACGTCTGAAGAGGAGTGGAGGAGACTTGGTGTCCAACAGAGTCTAGGCTGGGCCCATTACATGATTCATGAACCACAGCCACATATTTTTCTTTTTAGATGACCTCTTCTAGAAGAGTAACAAAATGAAGTATATCTAGGGTCATCAATTAAATCTTTCACAAATTTAATGTATATGTGTATATACAGTAGTATTCAGTGACTACTTAAAAATGTACAATCATTCATCCATATCTGTGCATGAGCTACATTCTTCACAGCAACAGAACTCAATTAAATACCACTGCCTTTATGTTATTGCAAGGTATTTAAGATAAAATTTTTCTTTTCTTTGGGTAGAGGGCTACCAGGGATTGAACTCAGGGGCACTCAACCACTGAGCCATATCCCCAGCCGTATATTGTATTTTATTTGGAGACGGGGTCTCACTGAGTTGCTCAGCACTTCCCTGTTGCTAAGGCTGGCTTTTAACTGATGATCCTCCTGCCTCAGCCTCCTGAGCTGCTGGGATTACAGGCGTGCACCACCATGCCTGGCTCACTTTTTCTTGTGATAGAAGTGCCTGTTTGACATTACCTGTTACTTTTGTTAAATAAAGTTTGTATATTGCAATTTTTAAAAAAAGAATCCCAGGGCCACAATAAATTCGAAATGAAAATATGTTATTATAAAATGCCCAACAAAGCTGGGAATATAGCTCACTGGTAGAGTGCCTGCCTAGCATGGATGAAGCCCTGGGTTCCATACTTTGCAGTGCAAAAAAATAAAAATAGTATGTCAAATAGTGAGTATGTGGTGGTTTTAGCATAAGTCCACACATTATTTGATACTCCTTCAAATAACAGAGGAGGTGAAGTTTAATTCCCCTCCCCTTGAGTTTGGGTTGCTCTTCGTGACTTGCTGTTCTGCCATAGACTGTTGGCAGAAGTCTATGGCAGAAGTGACAAGTTGAGCATAAAAGGCACTAACTACAGCTTCCCTCTTTTGCACTTTCTCTCTTAGATCACTTGCTCTGGGAGAAGCCAGATACCATGCCATTTGGACACTTAAGCAGCTTTATGGAGAGGCCCAGGCAGTGAGGAACTGAGTCCTCCTTCCTGTGGCCATGTTATGACCATCTCAGAAGAGATCCAGTCAAGGTCAGGTGCAATGATGCATGCCTATAATCTCAGCAACTCTGGAGACTGAGGTAGGAGGATCACAAAATTGAGGCCAACCTTGGCAATTTAGGAAAACCCTTTCTCAGAATAAAAAAATAAAAAGGGGTGGGGATGGAGCTCAGTGGTAGAGTGGCCCTGGGGTTCAATTCTAAGTATTGGGGAGGGGGGATACAAAGAGGCCCAGCCAAGCTCTTAGAGGATGCAGTCGTGGCTAGCATCTTACTACTCTTAATTCAGAGTACCAGAAGCACTCTCAATTACTGATCCAAAGAACCCATGAGATAAGAAATATTTGTTATTTTAAGTTGCCAAGGTTTGGAGTAATGTGCTATATAGCAAATGATAATCTAAGTAGTATTATATATATAATTTTTAAGTAAGTACACAAAGTTGGGAGTACCTGATCAACATTTACTTTACTGATGGTGTCAGCATGACCTCAAAAATATTTTTAAAATATTTAAAGGCTACTTCCCCAAGGTGAAGGCTGACCTAGAGCCTCAGTTCTAATTATCTATAGAAGTAAGACCAGTCCAGAATCCCATATTCTTAAAGAAGAATTCACTTGCAATACTCCTTCGGATTCCTGTCCTTTGGAGGGCAAGCTATAACATAGATGTCATTAGGAATTTGCAACAAGGCACTAAGATTTAGGAGAGTGCTAAAAGTTAAACAATTTTCAAAGCCCGGATAAAATTTTAAACCAAATCTACTCCTTGAGCAGTCCCTAGAGACCAACAGAAAGTGAAGGAAATAATCACACTGTCAGATAAACCACATTCCAGAAGGATGAAGGAGCGAGTGGGTTTAAACCTACCGGAGAGGCCTCTGCTCCTGCTGGGGCTCCTTTCCCAGCATCTCCTGCACCAGATGTAGCTGTAGCCTTCTTCCTCTCAGTGGTTCGGGTAGGAGAAGACTTGTACGAAGATTTAAGAGGGCCAACAGGAGCTACACGAGGACAGGCATGGAATACTAGAGAGTTACAGTATAACAGCCAGAAAGACAAGGAATACAGATGGAAAAAGCAGGAAGAGAGGAAGTTGGGAGGAATACCATATGTCTATTAAAATGTAACATGGGCAATTCACATTCTTGAAATATGAAACTTTTCCTATTATTCACAGAATGGATCCCACTTTTAAAAGGCTCACAGACTAAAGAGTCAAGTTAATTTTAGGCAAATAACAATCTGTACTTTGTAGATAGACAGACTTCACACTGAATCACCTTGGGCAGGCCACTCAACCTCTCTAAATCTCAGTTTCCTTATGCAGGAAGAATTAACATAGCAGGACTGACTGCTGTCTTTGGAAGGGCCTACTTACAAGGTTGGCCTTGGCCAGCATCTAGGAACTCAGATTTCGGGAAGATCCCTGCCATTAACTAATAAGTACCTAGGTTGTTTATATAAATAATACATTCTGGATGTTTGTAACTTGGGTATGTGCCCAGCAGGGGGTGCCTGCATGACCAGCTCCCAGTAAAAGCCCTGAGCACTGAATCTCTAAAGAATTCCCTCAGTTGGAAAAATTTTAAATGAGTTGTCAAAACTCATTACTGGGGGAATTAAGCATATCCTGTGTGACTCTGCTAGGAGAGGAGCCTTGGAAACTTGTGCCTGGTTTGCTCTGGACTCCTCCCCATGTACCACTTCCCTTTGCTAATTTCACTGTGTATCCTGCCATAATTAGTTATAACCAAGTGTAACTATGCTAAGTCTTCTGAGTTCTCTGGCGAATCATCAAACCATGGGGTGGTCTCAAGGATCACAACTGGTGTCACATTGTGAATCACTACAGTGACCCTGATTCACTAGGACAAAGGGGCAAAGAATGATGAATCTGGTGCCTGGGTAACTATGGAGTCATTCATGTATAGAACAGAAGCCAAGTTGCCTATGGAATTTGAAAGTGACCATTATAATTCCAAGAGAGTTGGCTCAATGGATCCCCTGGCTGTTTCTGGTTGTGCTAACCAAAGTGAGGGGGTAAAGTACAGCCCAGATAATGCCTTTAGTTTTTATTTTCTCCTCCAAGTAGAATTTGGAAACAACTTTCTTGCTTTTATCATCAGTGGGTTGATGGAACTTAAACTCTGGGTATAGTGGAATCAGACCACAGAGCTCCATATTGTAATTTTTTATTAATTTCCAAACAAAGGGATACTCTGGCATTTTAAAACTCAACTAGGGATTGGTACAAATACAGAAAACCACTTCATGGGGTCCTACACTGTGAAAACATCCTGGACACTGCTGGACCATCTGGATTACATACAAGTGCTCATAAAACAGGGCCTGTTCTCTGAGGGACCACCCAAAATCAAGCTGCTCCTCAGTTTTATATTTCTGATACAGAGCCTAAGTGCATTTCTACCTTGTGACCCTGTAAAATCCTGTAAAAGCTACAGGTTAGGAAATACTGGCAATGTGACCCTTTTATTCACTACTGAAAAACTGAACTCCATTTTCTCTAGGGATATGTGACTGCTGTTTTCTTGAGTTTGATTTTCCAAAGAAGCTATAGTTTATAACAATTGACTGAGAACCCAACTCTACTTTCCTCACCTCACCTTTCCTCACATATACCTCAGTAAAGCGATTTGTTAAATGTAGCTGTCTTAGGAAAGGAAGTGATCATTTTTAGACTGCTCACTGGATAAATGAACAGGACAAAAAGAATGGGATTTTGAAATTTTTTGAAAACTTAGGATTTTTGTCCCAACTAATACCTACACACATTGTGTCTTTCTGATTAAGTTTGATAAAAATGTCTTTTTAAAAAAAAAAATGCTTATCTTTTCTTTGACATATCTGAGTGAGAGTAGGGGATGATTAAGAAAATGTAAAGTTTTTTTTTTTTTTTTTGGTACTGGGGATTGAACCCAGGGGCACTTAACCACTGAGCTATATCCCCAGCCCCCCCCCCCTTTTTGGCATTTTATTTTGACATAGGGTCTTGCTGGGATTACAAGTGTGCACCACCATGTCCAGCTAAGAAAATGTAAAGTTTTGATTCCTGAATGGGACATGAAGAAAAAACTAAACTGAGCACCCTGGGGTGACATAGGGGACAATGTCACAAAGACATTTGTGATCTTTGTTTTCTAGAACTGATCCTGGAAGCTCTTCTTTCTACCAGAAGGAAACTCCCTGTGCTGCCTTGGTAAGTTGCTGCAAGCACGAACTGCTGAGCCTAGATGGCACATGACAGAGGACTGGGCCAGTTCCTACACAGTCCCTGCAGAACACCTCCAGATACAGTCCACATTCACCAGGCAGAAGAACTAGTGTCACTTAGAAACAGGCTGAGATTGCAAGACTCGGGCAACCCCTTTCCAACTAATTGAATGGAATTACTTGTACTAGACCGGGGCAAGAAGAACCATGGTAGGTCACACTGTGGGCTGTCTAGCCTGGCCAACACATACTCAGCTGCAAGTGCCCTAATGTTATCAGCTCTTTGATTCTAGACCACTTATTGTATTTCTTATAAGTGAGCTGTGACTACCCCCACATTCCTCTCTGGAAGGTATTCAGATCAAATTCAACTTACTGGTCAGAGCTGGGCTGGAGCCAGGTAAAAAAGATTCATAAGAAGCCGATGAAGAAAGTGCCTGGCTGCCTAAGGGAGACCCCTCTTGTTAATGGGATTTTCTTTAACTGTTAAGTCCATGACCTTTAAAGGGCACAAGTGAGACCAGTATCATGGGTGGTCTCATTCTGCTGTTAGAACCTACAGGTAATTCTTCTATTAAAGACATCCTGACAATGAATCAAGGGTACGGATTGTACAGAAAAGAGTTAACATAGAAGACCTGAGTGCTGTCCTTGGAAGGGTCTGCTTACAAGACTGGCCCTTGACCAGCATCTGGGAACTTAAGATTTTAGCAGGGTTCCCTCCATTAACTGATGAGTGGCTTGCTGTGCCTAAACTGTTTGTAAAAACAATATGGTGACACTGCTTTCATACCAGAAGCGTGGATTTGGGGTATGTTCTGGTCAAGGGGTGTGTGTGGTCATTCCTCAGTAAAAACTCTTTAAGAACTGAATCTCTAATAAGCTTTCCTGGTTGGCAGCATTTCATACATGTCACAACTCAAGGCTGGGAAAAATGTACCCTGAGTGATTCCACTGGAGAGCACCCTGGAAACTTGCACCTTGTCTTCCCTGGGCTTTATCCCATGTACCTTTCCCCCCTTGTTAACTTTGCTGTGTATCCTTTCATTGTAATAAGTCAGAGGTGAGTGTGCCTAGATGCCGAGTCTTCTCAGCCTTCCAAGCAAATCACTGATCCTGGAGTTAATCTTAGGGACCATGAAACGTTCTTTACTCTCAAAATAGGGATACTTTTATACAGACTAAGTTTTGTTTATTTGAGATAGAATATAAAAATCCCCTTTAAAAAGTGTCCAATTCAATGGGTTTTAGAATATTTACAAGGCTATGCAACCATAACTACAGTTGAATTCCAAAACATTTTCAAGACCACCTAGAAGAAATCCTTTATCCATTAAGTGGTCACTCCCCTTTCTTCCTTCCCCTAGTCCCTGATAACTATCAGTTTACTTTCTGACTCTATGAATTTACCTATTTTGGATATTTCATATAAGTGGAATCATATGATTTATGGCCTTTTGTGATTGCTTTCTTTCACTTACCATAATATTTTCAAGGTTCATCCATCTTGTAGCATCTATCAGTATGCCATTCCTTTTTACAGCTGAGTAATAGTCTACAGATTGTAAACCGTAATTTTGTTTATCTACTCATTGTGGGACATTTGAGCTATTTCCACTTTGTAGCTACTGTGACTAATACTTCTAAGAACATTTGTTGTACAAGTTTTTGTTTGAATATTTTTTTTTCCCTTGGCTGTATACTTAGGAGTGGAATTGCTAAGTCATATGGTAACTATGCTTAATTTTTTGAGGAACTTCCAGGATGTCTTCCACAGCGTTGCATTATTTTATATTTCTACCTGCAATATGTGAGGGGTCAAGTGTCTCCCATACCTTTCCAATACTTGTTCTTTTTCCTTTTTAAAAGGTTTTAGCTATGGGCTGGAGTTGTGGCTTAGTGGTAAAGTGCTTGCCTTGCACATGTGAGGCACTGGGTTCGATTTTCAGCACCACATAAATAAAATAAAGATATTGTGTCCATGTATAACTAAAAAACAACAAAAAAAGGTTTTAGCTATACTAGTGGGTGTGAAGTAGTATCTCACTATGGTTTTGATTTGAATTTCTCTAATGACTAGTGCTCTTGAACATCCTATCAAGTGCTTACTGGCTATCTGTGTTTCTAATTTATAGAAACAGTATCAACTATTCAGAAGCAGCTACAAATGGGTACAGGTTTATATAATTTATGTGTTATTTCACTAAATGGACTATATCTTTAGAATAAAGACCAAATCTCACATGGATATAGCATTGCTTATCTACAAAGAGAATGCCAGCTCTCATTAATCTTGACATGATGATTTGATCTGATTTGGTAGAAAAAGGGCTTTGAGAGTCCAGTCCAGTGTTTGTCAGATTCTAATGTGCAGGTCAGGTGGGCCTTGAGAGTTGGCCTTCCTACAAATCTCCTAAGTGATGCTGCTACTTCTGGTCCATAGACTACCTTTTGAATAGTGAGGCTTTAAGACATTTTTTCTACCTTATTTATACCATTACTTCATTTAATCCTCATGACAAACAAAAATAAGTCCATTTTATTGATGTGCAAACTGAGGCTTAGAGAAGTTAATTAACTTACCCAAAATGGTAAAAGGTAGTGGTAGGGCTGGCTGTGGATCTCCAGAGACTCTTGTCTACAGGCCACTTTGCCAAACCATCTCCCAAGAAAAGTCAACTAACCTTCATAGATCATCAAGTAGATTTTTTCCTTAAAGTACATGCCCTCAGTCAAAATAACTTACTCACCTCTGTGGCCCATAAAACAGACACAGAAGCAGCAAAACACTGGTGGGTAAAAAATGTTATTAATCATTGAAGGTATTTCATAAAGCCAGCAAACGGGAAGCAAAACACAAAAATTCAGGAATAAAAATCCCAGGCTGACCAACATTGCTTTGGACATTTTCCTCTATGTCACCAGCTTGGCCTCTTTTACCTGAGTCATTGGCCTGCTCAGAGAGCATGAGTGCACTTCTGCTTCTGGCTAAAGAAGCCTGTGTGGGTGTCAACAGTCGCATAACAAGAAAGTTTTCCATGGGACTAAGGTGCATGCGATGATGAGCTGAGGGATGGAATCAAATGAAAAATTTAAAAAGCAAATTAAAATAAAACAAAATAGAATGTTTAAATGACAGTGCATGATGTGAATTAAATTTTAAGTGGCAGAACAAACATGGGAAATAAAAATATTCTAACAATGAATGGCTTTGGAGTTCTTCACAGTAAAATCAAACAAATGGTGCATCATTTAGAGTTTGGGAGAGTGCATTAATTCTCTTGGGACATCAAAATTCGTACAACACATTATTATATTACAGTGATCTGCATAACTCAGAGAATTAGCCCACCTCCCAAAATGTTCATATGGACTCTTACTCATCACGTAGATCTAACATCAAAAAAAAAAAAATTACACCTACAAAACACTTGATTTAGGTCCTCTGTTAAGAAATAGTTCATAAGACACTGATTTTTAAAATGAAATGTCATCCTGTAATAGTAAAAAAATAAATCCTTTCATACTTTTTCCATGTAAATAAGGGCAAAAAGTAAACAAGAAGCACAAAAATATTAATGGCCAACTGATTACCAGCTTTACTCGAAGAAAACAGGACTCATAATCCAAAGATCAATGACCAAAATACTTTGATGGTTTTAGAATACATTATATGGCAACGGCTACAAAGAATTACTTTGTGTTCTTTGGATGCCTATTAACTAGTAAATTTAGGGGGGGATTAAAATTTCTCAATTTATAATCCACAAGCTGATAATTCAGTTGTCAATAATATAATAAACTTTTATGTTTATATGTTAATACGAAAATGAATTTAATATGTAAGAATATGAACTAATGAAAACATGGAATACGCTAATGGAACAGCTGTACAGAATTAAGTGTAGGTGTGCTCTAATTCAACTCTTAATTCCTTCCATGCTCCTAGTGCTTACCCATGAATTGCATCAGAAATCAGCAAGATTCTGATACTCACAGGGATTCTGATACACGTGCTATGCCTCTGGGATACAAGGGCCATGGTCAATGCCAGTGAACAACTACGAAGGCATACCGGCCTCTTCCAAGTCACAAACATCCTCCTGTTTACCCCTTGTTAATGACTTGACATGATAAATACTCCACTGGCACCTGATATTCCTTCAATGACGCTTTAAAATATACATTTAACATGTGGAGAGCCCTCCATTCCTTAACCTACATATTTTGAAAGGCTTCCAATGACTCATCTGAACCTCCATTAGAACAGGGACAGTGTCAAATCTATTCAGATTCTGGAACTGGCACATGTCCTATACACATCTCCCTGTTCAAAACTGTGCCTGTAAAGGCCCATCCATCCTTTTTCTCTTTTAGAGGCTTTATATTACTCTGTGCTTCTGTTTTCATCTAAAATATAGACAGGCCTACAATCATGGATGACTGCAGAGCTCCATCTTTTCACATAGCAAGTCTCCCAGCTAACTGACTCATTAATTATGCTCTTTCTGGCTAATCAACCACATCCCATCACTGACAGACAGGTACTTTTAAAACTCCTACATACAATGTGGAGTCTTTCAGACTGGGAGTGTATCAATTCCTATCCCTACTCAACAATCACCTGGCTCTAAGAAGCAATGTCACTTTCCAAAGTTTTATTAGCAAGGTCCTGAGGCTCCCACATTCAAACCAAGAGACTAGGATGATGGTGATATTTGCAGAAAACTCAGAGGGGGCTCTCACAAAGACCAATGTTAAGATGCTCACACCACAAAGAAGCAAACTGGGGAGACCATGTCTACATGTGCACTTGCCTCGGTCTGGGGAATAGGATATTGCCACGGTGGATGAAGACAGGCGTTTACTCATGGGAGGCTCCATCTGCTTTGGCAAATTCATGGTTGATGTAGAAAGTTTGTCACATGCTGCAGAGAAACGCATTAAAGACATTGATATTCATGTCACTATAGACTGAGAAACACATATCCCAAAGTGTCCTTCTTGTCCTCATCCATACATCTACGCCACAGTGGCACAGCACAACTCTGCTTGCTTCTATCATCCTGGGATCTCATTATCCTGATCTGGAAATGCCCAGGCTACATCAGCCAAGAAATTGTATACAATTTCTTCAGTTCTTCTCTTCATTTTCAAATGTTCAACCTCACTTAAATGTTCAACTAAAGCCATGTTAATCCAAAATCATTTTCTTGCATCCAGGGATTTTAAAATATATTCACACCATACGAAAACAAAACCAACCTGGACCAGAGACAAATCACTGCTGGAAATGTTCTATGGTCTGATTGAGACTAGTGCTGAAACTGAAATTTTCCTAAAGGTTACCTGTGGCTCAGGTTAAAAAAAGATGTAATTTGTAACTCAGGCTCTGTATTTAAAACAGAATGCCCTTTAGTAGTTGGTTTTCTTCCTCTTGTTAAAAGATGGAGTCAAAATGGCTCTTTTGGGACTGGAGTTGTGGCTCAGTGGTAGAGAGCTTGCCTAGCATGTGTGATGTACTAGGTTTGATTCTTAACACTGCATATAAATAAATAAAATAAAGTTTAAAAAATGGCTCTTTTGTAGATGCTTTATTAGTTTAAGGTTAGTATTTTAACACATAACCCTAAGTTTGGTGTTCTCATGTTTCAGTCATTTCAGACAGGTTTCAAAATTAAATCATTACAACCAACAAAGAGGTTCTACCAGTGCCCTGCCAACCTATATTGGAGCCTGAGGTGAAAGGAAAAATGAATAAAGGACACAAACTCATCAATAATATTTTCAAAATCTAACTCCTATGTTCACCTTGTTTTCAAATCAGAGAACGGTCATATCTGACAATTTATGCTGACCAAGTGATAAATTAATTAGCTGAAATCAAAGTATAATAAATTGGGGATACATAAAATATTTAAACTTGAAGTGATATTTTGATTTTGTGTGTGTGTTAGGGAAACTAGGAATTGAACCCAGGGGCCCTTTACCACTGAGCTACAGCCCCAGCCCTTTTTTATTTTGTGATTTTTGAGACAGGGTGGCCTCAAACTTGTGACTTTCCTGCCTCAGCCTCATGAGTAGCTGGGATTAAAAATATATACCACCATCCCTGGTGTTGTTTTAAATTTTAAAACTTTTATTCAAATTTTAGGGTTTTAACTACTTTAAGATTCTAGTAAAATAAGTAGGTAGAGTATATATTTTCTCTTTTGCCTCAGGCTTTGATATAGTTCAGCATCACACATTTTGAAATTCTGTTTTGTTCACTCTGGACTTTTCTGTATTAATTTTTATTTTTAAAATATTCCATTTAAAATGTTATTTTCATTGCTGAGATTTTGGGCAGCCCCTTTAAATTGTGTGCCCAAGTCAAGTACCACATTCATGTGGTTATGATCATATTACCCTGGTCATAACCTTGGGTACTAATTCCATTCTACTTGTACCCACTTTGCGGGAAAAGCCAGTGCCCACCCTATAGGTATTATAGCGAGGCCTGTACAGCAAAGTCCATGGTACGAGGATACTTTTTGTTAAAGGAATGCCAGAAACCAAGGATATTAATTCCTACTGTAAACACAACCTTCTGTATTGTTGGTGTTGCTAACCAGAAATGGGTTGAATTTCTAATCTTTATTACATGGGAACAAGGTTTTGCTAGTTCCATTCTTAATCTAAACCATAGAATTTCCCAGGTCTGTATTCAAAATAGAAATCCTTTTGTTTATTTGTTCTTCTGGGCATCGAACCCATGGCCTCCTACATCCCAGGCAAGTGTTCTTCCACTAAGCTACATCCCCAAAACACAGCGTTTTAGACAGAGATATGAAATGAATCACAGAGCCAAGTTGTCTAATTCTTTGGATTCCCAGTGTTACTATTAATAAACTCCCTAGCACTCCCTCTCAAACACTTCTCCTGGTATCCACCACATTAACACCAAGTCCAAGTATTCCATTCAGAACTCTGTGATTTCTGGCTTTTCACAAGAAGTGATCCAAACGCCCTTCTACTTAATGCCTAAAACAGATGATTAATGAAATTGTTAAAGACATAGATGCACAAAAATCAAATAATGACAAGATTTTTAAGGTAGAAGTGAGCTGAGGATGAAATGTCTCCAGAACACTACGATATAAGGCATGCACAGCTCCATGATGGCAGAGGAACAAAGAAAGATAAGCATATCATTCACATCTCTAGAAAAAAAATTATAACAGGTCAGACTAAGAAATCAACTGTGAAAGCACTTCAGACAGACAGTAATGGAGGAGGGTGATCAGAACAATTTTCACAAAGCGCTATGGCACGATGATGCTCGGATATACCGTTGCTGGACTCGGCAGCGGTGGCAGTGGTCCCTGCGTCCGGAGGAAGAGTGCTGGCTGCTAAACCTAGAGGAGGGGGTGGGGTATTTTCTGATTCACCTACACAGCAAAAAATCAGAGCAAAGAGAGGTAAAAGAAAAAAGTCCCAATTTGTTGTTTTATTTTACTTTCTAATTAGGAAATTAGAAAAGTTAACAAATGTGTTGCTGATTTCTCAAAAAAGAAAAAAGTATATCACTGCCAAAAAGTTAAAAGCACAATACAACTAATAAACTATATTATAAACACCTTTAAGAAATAGCTAGTAAATAACTCTGCATAACATAATGCTGAGATCACTGAAACATAGTATGACACTGAAAAGAGGGGAAAAGTCATCCTGAGACTAGTAATAACCCATACATTAAAGTAAACATTTAAAAATTTAAAGATGGGTATGAACTGGATAATGAAATAAGTCCCCTTGAAACAAAATAAAACGAGCAACAAAAATTCATAATGTGAAAAGAAAAAGTCCAGTCCTTTTTAGAGAGTAACTCTGACTTTCCCAGTCATGTCTGAAATAGTGACTGAGTCTCCTGCCATTTCCCTTCCCTGAAATCAGATTACCCCTGGACCTGCCTGCTGAGGCCAGCTAGCCAGGCTTTGCATCCATTTTCTTTTGCTCTCCCTGAAAGCCCAGTTATTGCATCAATTGCTGTTTGCTAGCAAGAAGAATACACATCTCCCTCTCATGAGAAATGCATACACAGAAGCTTGGCAGTTTTAAACATCACACCCAAAAAGGGTGCCTGTAAAGCTGTGCACAGCATCCCCAAGATCCTGTGGACACCCAGCCCTGCCCATGATCTCCCACTGGAGCCCTGCAATGCAGGGACAGCCCTGCACTCACCATCACGTCCTCCAGGTCCTGTGGCCAGTGATGTTCCCCACGAACACTTCTTCTTCAGCTCCAGCTGCTGTGTACGCTCCAGGGACCGGCGCATCATTGCCTCCAGTCGCTCCTGCCCAGTTCACACAAAGCATTGGGTGTCAACAAAGAACAAGCTCAAACACCCAGCCCCACTGCACTGCCGCCTCAGTGCTCTGGGGTGAGTCACCAAACCAGGCTTTCTGTGCTCAGCATCCTAAACCCAGGCACACATATTCTCTCTGCCACATCACACTCTCGGTGGGTGGAGAGTAAACAATGCGGCTAGGCTATCACCAGATCTCCAACTGAACACTGTGTCCTGTCCCCTCCTCACCCCTCCCTGGGGAAAAGCTGCTGTTATGCCAGCCCTTGATTTGTTTAAGAATAATGCCCAACAAGCATTAACTCCTTGAGGCCTGTCTCAAACCCAAGCTTGCACCATCCAGTAAGAGAACTGGAATTTTGCTCCAGAACCAACTGCAGTCTTTATAATTGTAAGCACAAAACATTCTAATTTGAGAAAATTTAGATTAAAATATAATCTGAGTTTCTGTAGCCTTATACATAGTTTTAAAAAGAAAAATCTATTTTTTTCTATATTATAACACTTTTCTGCACAGTTCAAAATTTAATGAGACAGGAAGGAGTATAGAATCTTCTGGCCACAAAGTAAAACATCTATACATCTCCAGAGTTAGGTAGGTTTGGGCATGAGGGAAAGAAGAACTAAGCAATTTTTAACCAGAAAAGAAAATCTACCAGTAGGCTTCTCTATTAACAGAGGATTTATCAAAAGCATCCTCCTGTATTAACCAGACTGTTACTTTCCATAGAGTTGTCCTTGGCACTGCAGCAAAAGTATTCTTACTCTGCACCTCAATGACTCTGCAAATACCAGCTACTTTCCCTGCCACCACTGGAGAAGGTCCAAAGCAATTCTGGTCTTATATACTGACACCCATTAGCCCTCATAAAACTTAATTCCATGGAGTTCCTGGAACTGGACTACTCCTATCTGACTCCAAAACACAAAGATATGATTTTTTTACTAAAACAAGCAAGTAAAATTAAATTAGGACAGCAAAAACTGTGTAACTGACTTAAGCATTAGGAAAAGCCTCCTTTATTTCACTTACTGCAAACACATAAATGTCACTTAGGATGTGCCTGGATTTACCCCTTTTGTCTACACCAGAGGCATGAGACGAGCAGTTGGGTTCTTTACATCTCAGCTTCCTCTGTGTAATTTTTTCTCTGAATAGCATTTTGCTAAAAAACGTTAGCAATTAGTCTTTTCATGGACCTGTGAGCAGAGAGGGGAATTGTTTCCTCTTATATCACTCAGATTTATATTGACTATTAATTGTGTTCTAGTTTGGGACTGGACACTGTACAATCACAAGTGTACATTTCCTGGTTGCTCCATTCTCATGAACCTGGGCCGTTTAATGCTGATGGCCAGCACTGGTGATCTGCCAGGTAAAAGTTGATGCTTAGAGGAAACAGAACTTCTCCACCATGATGCCTAAAATACGGGTACTTGAGCGTGAGGCTGAATGTTATTTCATTGTATGAATTTAACAAAGTATTTAGTCAATGACCTAATTTAAGTGTTGAAACCTTTCACCCTGAAGAATGAAATTAGTTTTTGGTAGATTTCCTATATATCAGAAGGAACTCATTAGACTGTCCTTTATCTACTAGGGGCTCAATGAGAATAAAAGATATTGAATTTCATAGAGCCAGTTTTACCACTGGAGCAGCTATCTAGGGGGCAGAATTATACAATAATGTTCAACTAAAGCCAAACTTATCCCTGGACTGTTCAGTTACTTTTAGAAAAACTACCCATGCCATCTACCCCAAATCCACTGAGTGACTCCAAATTCCAACAATGGAAATTAGGTCATTTGGACCTTGAATAGGCTTATAAAAATGTAATCATCCCTGAGAAAACGAGACAATCACCTTGTATCACCAATTTTTAGAGAGAAGAGGAAAAACAGGTAGTAAACAAGTTCTAACAGACTTATAGAACCAAAAGAAGTCAGAATGGGATGATTCAAACATATATATAAAAAAACTGGTCCACTGCACTGGTTAGAAGTTAGTCCTGTGTATGGAGGTATTGCCTAGTATTTGCGTATACCCTTCTGATTCCCTTCATCTGATTGAGCAGAAAGAATCCTAGATTTGGAATCAGAAGGTAAAGATTCAGAGTCTACCTTTGCCTACCATTTTTTAGCCTTGTGACCTTGAGTCAATCATTTCACATCCTTGGGCTTCAATTTTCTCACCTACAGAATGAGAATGACATTACCTACTTTATCAGATTACTCTCAAGTCTACAAAGTTAACGTCTAGTCTAGTTCTTGATGTGTAAGTACTTCACCAATGCTGACTGAATCTGAATTTGAAGAGGAGGAGGACTATTAACAGAACATTTTAGAACAAGTGATTCTTAAATGTAAATGTGGCTGTATTGTAATCCCCTGGAGGGCATATTAAAACAGATTGTTGGGGTATCTCCCCAGGGTTTCTGGGTAAGTCTGGGGTGGAGCCTGCTAAGAATCTGTATTTCTAACTAGTTATCAGGTGTTAATGGTATTGGGACCACACTGTGAGAAGAAAGGCCAAGCATGAAAAAGCAAGGGTAAATTCAGTCACATCAGGAAACCAGTATTAATAAATACTAGGAACTGTATACTGCATACTACAATTCCTGCCAAGTTTTGGTTCTCCTGGGTATCATCTGATGATCATCAGAGGATGGGGAAAGGACAAGGCAAATTTTTGTCAACAGAATATCTTCTATTGAGTGGGGCTTATTAGAAGAAATGAACAATAAGAGGCAAAAGCCCCCTTGAGCTCTAAGCTCTAGATCTTCCTCAAAGAACTTGGAGAATCACATCCAAGGTGACCCACTGAGCTGTCCGAGCAACAGTCCTCTACCAGGACATGGCCCAAACACTACTACCCAGACAGCAATCTCTGTCAGGAGTTGGGGCTGTCAGGGTTATGCCTTTGCCCCTGCTTTTACCATATGTGTTTAGGTGATGACATTGCAGGGATAAGGCTCCAAGGTGCACAGCTAAGTGAAGTTTTTTAGGTGTGTTCAGAAATTTCTAGTTTTGGGGTAGGGGTACTGGGGATTGAATTCAGGGGTACTAAACCACTGAGCCATATTCCCAGCCCTGTTTTTAAATTTATTTATTTAGAGACAGGGTCTCATTAAGTTGCTTAGTGCCTCACTTGTGTCTCAGCATCCCGAGCCACTGGTATTACAGGTGTGCACCACCACCCCGGCCCAGAAATTTCTTAGCAAGGTAGGTTTTGTTATCTATAAAGCAATGAGAGTATGAACAGTTTAATTTGTCAAACTAACTTAAAGAGATGAAGCTACTCTTGGAAAAAAGGCCTTTCCTAGTTATCTGTTTAGCAGGAGAAATGTAGAATGGCCTTCTCCAAATCACATATTTCAGGGCCACTACTCAGGAAATTATATTCCTGACTGGGTGAGAACACTGCATATCAGTCCTAACTCAGTTGAAAGTAAAGTGCCTGTTCTAGCAGCTTAATTTTGGAACTGTGCAGCATGTGAACATTGTAGGAACCCATTTTAAAGAAAAGATAGGGGGCTGGGGTCGTGGCTCAGTGGTAGAGCACTCTTCTTGAATGTGTGAGGCTCCGGGTTCAATCCTCAGCATCACATAAAAGTAAATAAAATAAAGGTATTGTGTCCATCTACAACTAAAATGAAGAAAAGAAAAGAAAAGATGGTCTCCAGCAAGAAAATTGAGTTCAAAGTCAGGATCTCAAGCAGATATCAGACTTTCCCTCCCTAGGACAGGCCTGGCTAGCCTCCAATACTGCCAATTCTTGAGACTTCTGGGAGTCAGGCTGATCATTCTGCATTGCAGATGAGGGACTGCCACTGCCAGAATAATTCTGTATTTGCTTCTGTGCTTTCTTGCACCCCCAATGTAGTGGTGGGGGTCCTGAGACACCATCCACTTCTGCCTTGGCACAGACATGAAGAGTTACCAAGAACATCATGACAACCACAGGGATGGAAGCCAGGTCAGGGTTGGGTAGGAGTGAGTAGCTAACAGGCCTCTTTTTATCTCCTAAACATCAGACCCAGAGAGGTAGGACTTGTTGGGTAATATGTGCATTTCCCAATAGACTACAGAAGCAAAATGGCCTGCACAGGATGAACTATCTTCCCACTGAGCCTTTTCCTTGGTTGACAAGAGACAGAGCATGACAAAAAGAACTTAAGTCTGGCACCAAGAAAAGGACTCAACAATCTCCACAGCCAGGTACTTAGCATACAACAACTCTTACAGAGCTCTTCAAGAACCATGGGGGTGACCACAAAGGGCTTCCTTTGGATAGGGGCTTCTGCAGTGCAGTCTCATCCCCCTTCTCTGAAGATCAAGCACAAACAATGCCAAATAAGCCTCTGTATTGGTAATTACCAACACCAATGTGGTTAACTGGCCAGCCTGTATGTGAAAAGTCTCTAAGCTACACCTGGGTCTCCTGGGACCCTAAGGGTAGGAGCAGGTGGCAGAGAAAGGCTTCTGCTTCCTTGGGTTGCTACGCAACCTTTTTAAGCCCAGCTCTCTGCCCAGCCCTACCATGCTCAGGGAGAACAGAAAAGCAAGCTCAGCTTGTTGTTAAGCTGACAAGAGTCAGGAACCATTCCCCACCCGCCATAACCACCACATTACGGGTGCAAGAAAGCACAGAAGCAAATGGAAAATCATCCAGAAGTGAAACCTCTGAAGATTCAGATGCATGTGGACCAACCATCTGGCATAACATTCCCTCATAGGCAAGGAGGAGGTGTGTGAGTACTTAATGCAACTAATAGCACTAATGTTCTTTTTTAAAAAGTATTTTTTAAATTGTAGTTGGACACGATATCTTTATTTTATTTATTCATTTATTTTTTATGTGGTGTTAAGGATAGAACCCCGCGCCTTGCATGTGCTAGGTGAGCACTCTACCGCTGAACCATAGCCCCAGCCCCAGCACTAATGTTCTATAAAGGAAAATTAAACATAGAAATTGCCTCAAAAGTGAACCCCTGTGACACTATAGGATGTTTCAGAACACAGGAAGCATGTAACTTGACACTTTACAGTGCTCCTTCCTGGAAGCAGCAGTGACAAGCTTTCCCTTGAATCAGCAATCCTAGAGGATGTCAAAAATCAAAATGAAGAGGCTGGGGGGAAAGGGACAAGCTCTAAGTCATCAAGGAATGGAGGATGGGCAGAAAATGGGTGAGTCCAGTGACTCATGAGAAGTACAAAGTTTGAGAAAGAAGAAATTGGTCCTAAATTACTGAAACACTGTCGCTCTGTGGCTTTTTTTTTAATAGTATATATACTCTGTGCCATAATCTCTTCTAGGTAGCTCTCTTTCACCTTGCTTCAGCCAAGATCAAATGAATTAAGTGGAGAGAATCTCACTTTTCTAAGGGATTATTCTGTGCCAGGTGTTTTGCTGGACACTTTCATAAAAGTCAACTCCTTTAATTCCTGTAACCATTTTTGTTTGGAGCTGAGGATACAGAATTAGAAGGGATATGTGACTTGCCCCTGGCCACCAGATGCTTAGTGGTAGAGCTGAGCAGATGAATAATGAGCAGTCAATAATGGTGAACCATGGCTAAGAGCATTGCTTAGATCTTTATTTGCTAAGAAGAACAAAGGAACTGGGTGCTTTGTAGGTAAAGATAGATCTAATTGTGTGTTTGTATTCATGTTCATATGTGCTTTTTAAGTTAAAAAAAAGAGGAAGTAGTAAATATATATAGTAGAAAACAACCACTAGGAGATTTTTTTAAAAAATACTAAATTTATACAAAAATCTTTGTATCCTACAGTTTTGGAGATTAACAAATTGCTATATTGTTCATACTAAGATATCATTATACCTTATGAATAAAAAATGACCATCACCTGATACAAGGCTATGATTACATCCTTAATATATTCTTGTTAAGAAAATCTATTACCCAAATATGCTTTCTAAATCTATTTCAGTTTAGAAATAAAGGACTCTGTAGGGGTAACTGCATTATATTTCTTTTTTAAAAGGTAACTGGAAAGAAAGAATGATTAAAGCAGGAACTACGGTAAAATTTAAATACACTAGCATCTTTGTATTTGAGGGTAAACTAATTTTCCAGCAGTGAATCACAGGATCATTTTGTTCTTGACCCTCACAGCTCACACTCTGGCCTCATATCTGCCCTAGAAACACGGACAACCCTCCAGACTGTATTATCCTAACCACAATCCCCTGTGAGCCTTAACTTAGAGTCAGAAAAGGTTATGCCTGGAACAGCTCTTGGGAGACCACCAAATCCAACCTCCTCAATGCAGAGACAAGCAAATCAAGGCCCAGAGACACCAACCACTTGCCCAAAGTCATATAGCAAAGTGACATCTGAACTGAATAGATAAGTCTGTTTACTATGCCAGTGCTTCTTCCACTGGATCACTGTATCATCATGCTCAAAGAGCATATGGTGAGCCACTGGGAGAAGATACAGGATCATGTCTCTCTTATACCTTGGAGCTGGGTAGGATGTCCAGGTGCTCTCAGCACTACACTCTGTGTGAGCTGCCAAGATGGTTGGGATGAGGGACTCCTGGGGCTTTACCTCCTCCTCTCGGAGCTTCTGCTTCCTCTTCTCTTCTACAGCAGCCCTCTTTTGATCCTCCCGTTGTCGCTGCTCTTCCAGTTTCCGCCATCGCTCCTCAATTTGCTTTTCATACTGGAGCTTAGCTCTTTTCTGTTTCTCCAGGATCTGCTGCTCCCGGGCAGCTGGTGAAGGAAAGCAGAAGGTCATTTCTAGAGCACCCCATGTGGCATGAATTAAGAATAATAACACAGAAACAAGAGTGAATAGCAAAACAGTCTAGTGGGATCCTAGGATGCAGTGATGAGACTAAAGTTCCTGAGACCTCCATCACTAGCTGGGTAATCCTGGGCATGTTAACTGTTTGTGCCTCCATCTCCTCTTCTGTGAAGTGGAGATTATGGTTAGTCATATATGCAACATCACAATATGGTGACAACTAAATGAGATAATGCACATAAAGTACACAGTAATGCCCCAACACATGGGAGCTGACTATTATTGCTATCACTAAGTCAAACTTAAGCACAATGGCTAAACTGTACACTAGCTTGAAACGTGATAGCTGTAAGAGTGCATTCACTCAAATGTGTTTAACTGTACATGTAGCAAGCAGATGCTGAGCTGGGCAAAGGGATAAAACACATGGAAAAGATTGGCTTTCCCTCCGAGAAACTAAGGACTCTTAACTTCACCTGGTCAAACCATGGAATGGTTCCTCAAAGTAGGCAATGCTTGAACTGTCCAGGAAGAAGCCAAGCAAGAACCCAAAAGCTCCTCTTTTGTCTCAATTGAATGGGGAAATCATCATCTACCTACTTCACAGCACCCTGTGGAGAACACCCTGTACTTATCTATCTATAGCACACAAGACAGACTTTCTCAACCAAGGCACCCTGATGTATCATAGAAAATGATTTAAGTGCTAATATCTTAGTTTTCCTGAGGATGACTCTTCTAGATGTTCAGAAAAGAAGCTGAGTGAATGCATACAGTGAATGCCTGAGGGCATAACGACTTGCTCAGAGTTCTCTTTTTTTTGCCTTCATGCCCACAGCCCCAAGCACAGTGCTTAGGACACAGAAGAGGTTTAATGATTCCTGAGTGAGTGACTGAATGAACTGTTTGGAAAATTATGCAATGTTTATGAACATACCAGTCTCCATGTGGATCCACTCCTAGCAATTGTCCTAGCTCTCTTTGCGTTCATTTGCAGATTTCCCAGGACCTTTAGAAAAGGCCCTCACCACCTCTCCACTTCCTTGGACCTAACCAGTCAACGTGTACAACTTACCCAGACATTTTTCTCTTTCTTCTCTTCTCTCTTTGGCTAGTCTTTGTCTCTCATCTGATTTTAAAAATCCATCCATACCTGTAAGAGAGAAAACATGATGATTTTAAGTTCTTCACTCTTCCCCTATGGACACACACCTTGGGTCTGGCTGCACACACATCATCCACTGTTGCTTCTTCATTTGAAGCAGAGCATCTATCACGCCCCCCATGCACATATACAACCAATCCCCAACAGCTGTAGAGCAGTAGCTATGGCTTCCATGAGTACCTGCCAAGCCATGCTATAGTGGTTCCAACACCAGCGTGGGAGGACAGAACCCTTTCCCTAATCCTGTTCCCAGGTCTGACCCTGGAAGGGTCTGAAGGTGTAGTAAATGACAGACAGATCAGAGAGACCGAACAGAGATGCTCACCAAACCTCTCCCAGCCTTGTTACCAAACCTGAGGGGGAGAGGAGAAGCATAAAAATGTACAAGACTTTGGATACCAATTATTACATAGATATGAACATTTTATTTTCTGGAAAGAGCCAACTGCTAAGGGACACAAGAGTGTTTCTCAGGAGAGCACTGTAACTCTCATGTTCAATTTCAATTCTGCCAAATTTGCTCTGATGTCAATCTTAGTATCTAAGAATCACAAAGAAGAAAGGAAAATAATGGGATATTCCTGTTGTCATTCAAATATCTACAACAAATAAAATGGAACAAAAGACAGTGACCCCCCCCCCAATTCCAGGAAATATCCTTAGAGTTCTACATCTCTACCCATCCCCTACAGGACCCTAAGGAGCTTTTATTCTTTTTTCTTTTTTGGGGGGTGGGAGGAGGTAACTGGAGATCAAACCCAGGGATGCTTAACTACTAAACCACATCCCTATCCCTTTTTATTTTGAGACAGGGTCTCACTAAATTGCTTAGGGCCTTGCTAAGCGCTGAAGCTGGCTATTCCTGTCTCAGCCTCCTGAGCTGCTGGGATTATAGGCATGCACTCCACCGTGCCTGGCTCCTAAGAGGCTTTCTAAATTAAAGAGTAAATGGATCTTCATGACTGTTTTGAAATTAGAAATAATTGCATTCTGTTACAATTGGTTATTCATGAGTATTTGCTACATGATGTTTAAGCCTATCATTCTGGAAAAATTGGCTTTAGTGCTAATGTTACCACATTCCCATTCCCAGTGCCTGGGCCTTCTTCTCTGGGAGCACCAACTGACTCCACACTATGCTTTGCTGCCATAGCAACCTCAGCTCTTTCCAGGGAGGCTCTTGCTGTTTGATATCCAGAAGGGGGGGACTGGAAGCTTGGCCTGCTGTGGAGGCAGTGGAAATACAGATGGTGAATAACATAGCTAACACTGGGTTGTCACAATTCTCTGTATGAGTCTAATTTTGCGGGCTGTAGGTCTAGTTTTAAATTTTAGTTTAATTTTATAAGTACTGGGGATACTAAAATTTAAGAGAGAAGTACTAGAAAATCAACCCTGGACTTAAAGTGCTATTCTCCATGTTTGTTCTTAGTCAATTCTTAATTACGAAGTTCCCAACATTATGACCATTATAAATTTAAAGGCCCAACATCTCACATCTCAAACCATTCCAGCCCCCCAACACACACCCAATATGACTCTCTTTTCCTAACTTGACCTCAGGACTACCTTCTGGCTTATACCATTCCTTCTCCCACTCCCACCGGTTTAAACCACACCAACTTTCAAGACTCCACCATTCCCAAGACCCATGATGTCCCATGCTCCCACAGTTTGTGAAGTCCTAGTTTCATCCTCCTTCCCCACGGAGATCTCTCTTCTATAACTTGTTCTCCTCACTACCTGGCGGCTCCAAGGTGCACATGCAATGCTCCAAAGACAGGCATGAAGTCAAGGGCAGAGAGATAAAGTCAAGTTTTTCTTTTCTCTAAACACTTTCAGATTCTAGTTCCTACATCAAGAATTTCATTAAGAATTTATGTAAAAAACTACAAAGAAAAGCCTAGAATGTGTGGACAGATGTTTCCTTTAGCACCCACATCAACCTCCCTACCCAACTAGAACCTGAACCTTGCTCCATACTACCCACACCACCTTCTTGATATTGGGCCTGCCCTATCTCTAATGAAAGTGTTCTTCAAGCAGGCCAAAAAGAAAGAAAAATGGAGAAGAAAAAGGACCAAATGTTCCATAGATATGCATGGTTTTAGGCTGCCCCCTTGTGGGTACCTGTAAGAATCACATCTTCAAGTCATATCAGTAGTGTTATCATAAAAGGAGGTGAAAATATAACAGTTATTATGGACCAAGTGCACTGCCTGAATTTACTGGGCCCAACCACGCTCTGGTGACAGAGGTACTATTTATGATCCTCATCTTATTGGGGAAGAAACAGAAGCACAGAGAGGTTAACTAATTTGTCCTAGGTAGCACCATCAGAAGTAGAGAAGCCAGACACCAAAGCAAGAACCTGACTCCAAGAACCACACTTCTTTTTTTGAGGTGCATCACTGGGTCACACAGGAAACAAATATTATCCTGGTCCCAAAAATGAGCTTGAAAACCTTAAGAGCAGAATGTGAGTCTAACTCATTAGAGAAGCATGAAAAAGGCAGTTTTATGAGCCAAGCACGGGCATAGCTAGGCACAGATGCAGTGAATGGACAGGCAGGCTAATTATTTGCTTCTTCCTCAAACTGATTATTTGGAAATGTTTGCTCAGCAATATTGTAGAGGCTGATGATGGGTGGGAAACTGGGATAGCCTGAGGACCATGGGGACAGTTGTAGGCTTCTCCTTGCTCATGCCAAGCAAATCAGCTTTGCCCTACTAAAGTGGGTAGAGTGACTCAAACAACCCAACATAGGCAACTTAGAATCTCTGTGCTGTCCATTTGTCATCCACATGTCACACATGGCTATTTAAATTTAAAATAAAAGTAAATATGAGGGCTGGGGTTGTGGCTCAGAGGTACAGCGCTTGCCTGGCATACATGAGGCACTGGGTTTGATCCTCAGCACCACATAAAAATAAAATAAAGGTACTGGGTCCACCTACAACTAAAATATATTTTTTTTAAAGAGAGAGAGAGAGAGAGTCAGAGAGAGAGAGAGAGAGAATTTTAATATTTATTTATTTTTTAGTTTTCAGTGGACACAACATCTTTGTTTGTATGTGGTGCTGAGTATCGAACCCGGGCCGCACGCATGCCAGGCGAGCACGCTACCACTTGAGCCACATCCCCAGCCCTAAAAAATAAATGTTTAAAAAAAATAAATAAAAATAGGAGCCGGGGTTGTGGCTCAGAGGTAGCGCATTCACCTAGCATGCATGAGGCACTTGGTTCAATCCTCAACATCACATAAATATAAAATAAAGATATTGTATCCACCTATGACTAAAAAATATTTTTAAAAAAATAATAAATAAAAATTAAAAATAAAAATAAATATGAGCCCAGGTCCTCAGTCATTGCTGGGTATATTTCAGGCATTCAATAGCTACATGTAGCTGGTAGCTACCGTAATGAAGTGCTAAAGGAGAAGCATGGAAGCTCATTTTTTGATTCTCACCTTTCACATTTAGATGCTCTGAGGCAAATATGAAAAAGGAAGATCTGAATTCAATCAGGGTTGAGTTTTGCTGGCTGAGGTGGGCCTGCTCCTTTCCTCCACCCAACATCTGTCTCTTCTGTTTGCAGAGTATCAAGCAAACACTCTGAGAACATCCTTTCAAAGATGAATCAAATAATTAACTTGCATCCTCAGTTTTCACCCTCTAACTATCAGTGACCCTCCAGAGGATGTCAAGAGGGCCCTAGATTCATCCTAAGGCACAAACCAGAAGGCCATGGACTTTATCAACTATTACCACTATCAAAACATAGCCAAATGTAAATTACAGGAATCCCAAAAGACTATCATGGACACTAACACGAGATGACTTCTGAAGACACAATATACCCAAAAATTAATGCTGAATTCAGTTCCACAAGGAAGCCTTTATGTATGGCCTGAAATCCTCAAGTTTAAATTTTCCTACCCAATAGTCCTCTATCCCATGTACCTTGCACATGTTCATTTATTGTGTGTGTACGTGTCTTTTTTTTGTGTGTGTGTGGAGCTGGGGATGGAACTTATGGTCTCACATGTGCTAGGCAAGTATGCTACCCCTGAACTACACCCACAGGTTGTTTCTTTAAAAAAAAAAAACAGAACCTAATTTTATACTTAAATACCATGAGAACAGATGGAAAACAGAGCCACGCTCATCAGGGATTGAGCAGGTAGGGGCAAGAGGAAGTGGGCAGCTATAAAGGGCATCATGAGGGGTCCCACTGGTAATGGAAATATCTTGCCTATATCAATGTCAATACCCTGGTTGTGATACTGCACTATAGTTTTGCAGGGCATTACCATTGAGGAAATTACGTATAAGTTACATGGGATCTCTGTGTGACATTTCTTATAACTAGAGGTGAATCAACAATGACCTCAAAATTTTTAAAAAATTAATTATAAAAAAGAACCCCCCCCCAAAAAAAAACCCTGGCACAAATGTGAAGCCCTGGGAGGGACCCAAGACAAACAGAGTTCAGGGGACACTCTAGCTGAAGAACCCTACCTAGAAGAAGAATGAGGGTGCTCACATCAGGACCATCCCTACCCCACTCTTGATGCAATAACGCTTCCTAGAGCAATAGTCTTCAGGTAAATGTGTACCTCTGAAATAGAATTAAATGGAGAAAAAGGCTTCTATCATAGGAAATTAAAAACAGGAATACTGAGCAGCTAAACAACTATTTTATATTTTAAAAAAACAGCATAAAATCTCATATTTCACTGATTTGCCCTTCCTTAGCATAACTTCCCATTATCCGTGGGCTGCAGCAACACATTGAAAAAAACTAATTTAAAAATGAATTTTATTAGCCTGAAGCACTCTACTACTAGAATATTAATGAGCTGATATCAGTCAATTATTCATGGTACTGGTAAGAACCATTACTGAAATACCGTTTTAAGGAGAACCAGCTGTGTTTGACTTTTAAAAATTAATGCATCAATTTTAAAACAACCTCCCCAA